AAGGATGAACTCTCTATGGATATTACAAGGTGTGTCTGATGCGAGCCACTCTCTTTGATTCCTGTTCACGGCTGCCCTGGCCAGGTCCATCAGTGATCTCTTGATGTGGTAATTATGTTTCAACTTATAGTAATATTGTTGAAAAACTAAAAGGATATTTTCAGTGGCTGTGACCATTGCTGGAGAAGGTGCGGTTAGATGACTCAGCCCCTCTTTGGTCGCATATGTGCGGTGAAGGATGAGCAGTTCGTTTGGGTTGTCCAGCGACACATCTGTTGTCAGGAATGTCTTGCAGGTGTCACACTGATACTTCTTTAGTGCGACCATAGCTAAATATCCAGCAACATGTCTTCAGTTATATATAGATATATATGTATACTAGCTGACCCGGCGAACTTCGTATCGCCTAAGTTATAGGTTTCCCCTAAGACAGACCGATGGAAAGAAAGTACCGTTACGTTTAATTTTCAAGATGATCTCGTTCGCATCGCTCAATCACGTCCTGGTTGAAGTTCGTTCGCTACGCTCACTCACCTTTGGGTTGGAGCTCGTTCGCTACGCTCACTCACCTTTAGGTTGGAGCTCGTTCGCTGCGCTCACTTGCCTTCAGGTTAGCTCGTTCGCTACGCTAACTCGCCTCCAGGTTGAAGTTCGTTCGCTACGCTCACTCACCTTTTGGTTGCAAATTAGCTGTTATCATAAATGTAAAAGAAATAATAGTGCTGCATCCTGTTGGTAATCCTTGTAACTTTAATGCTATTGAACATCATAGAACAGAACCAACTTGTTTAATTGAAACAGCTGTTAAGATTCAATAATTCCATTTCTCATAAGGTTAACATGGGAAACTCCAGAGCCACTGGGGCGGAGCCCTTTTAAGAATTTCGAAACGGGAAATAGTTTACGTCCGATTCGCATACCTACAGAATTTACACACCAAATTTCATAACGATCGGTGAAGTCGTTCCAGAGGAGTTTGCAGACAAACACTGTGACACGAGAATTTTATATATTAGATATATATATTGTTGTAGTTATGGTGGTAATGTAAAACAGTAGTGGAGGTTAACAAAAAAGAAGAAGTTAACGAGTTATTTAGCTGTACGTAAAACGTATTGTGATGATTTTATAACATTCATCAGTAAAAAAAGGAGACTTTATGCGACTTCTCAATAACAAACATTACATGAGAAATAACAGCGGTTAGGTTCCAACAAATATATCAGCAAATTAAGAAGTAAGAAGACTCGGGATAATTTTTTGTCAAGTTTAAATGTTAATGCATTGCATTTTGATTTCATTGAACTGCTCCATATGTTTGATCAACACCTATGATAAAAAACTTAAGACGATATCTTTTGTAGTACTTTAGTAGTATTTTCTTTTACCAAACAGATAATATTACTGACAGAAGTTTGGAGGGTTTTGCTGGGGGTTGTACATTGCAGGGTGACTGTATCGACAAAAAAAGTTCGGTGGATTGAGTGACAGGGGACAGGGACGACGACACATTAGTTTAGTATCCCACATTAGTATAGTAGTAGTAAAAAATGTTATTTTAGTATCCCGGTTCACAGTTAAATCAGACTCTAAAACAAAACCAAATACAGGTACTTGATGAGTTCACAAAGTACTCGATTAGGTCACTAATCACTTGATCCGGCTCCTAATTACTTAATCCCGACACTACCTACTCGGAAAGTACACAAGGTAACCTACCGACCACAAATCGCACTCGCACCAACTCTCGATTCAAGAAACTGAACTCTCGATAATAGTGTACGATAATATGTAGTAAACGGCTCGACAACTCAAACAAAACTAAACTAATGTGTCGTCGTCCCTGTCCCCTGTCACTCAATCCACCGAACTTTTTTTGTCGATACAGTCACCCTGCAATGTACAACCCCCAGCAAAACCCTCCAAACTTCTGTCAGTAATATTATCTGTTTGGTAAAAGAAAATACTACTAAAGTACTACAAAAGATATCGTCTTAAGTTTTTTATCATAGGTGTTGATCAAACATATGTAAATATATTTAAGCATTAACTGAAAAGTTAACATTTAACAGATGCTACTTTTCTTGTACGGCAATAACAGCTGTGTTTCAAAGGTGTCTCCAGTAACTCAAGTATATACTATAGTACTTTAATACTTTTCAATCAATTAAAAAAAATAAATGTTTGTATTTTAGTCTTAAAAATGCTAATAATTATCTTATTACTAAAATATAATATGATATATTGCTGTATTGGATTTAAGAGTAAAATGAAGACGTTATGTAGTGATAATCGTGTCTGTCTAGAGTTATCAAAACATGAGATAGATGAACTATTGAGTTGTATTGTTCATTGTTCAGTATAATGACTGTTAATTGTCAAACTTATTTCGGTAATATCATTGACTATATAACACTACATTTTATATATGTAGTGTTATATAGTGAATGGTAATATGTTTTATTTTCTATTTTTTACAATATTCAGGTTTTACATTTAATTCAGGAATTTACGATAATCATTCAGCTAGGACCACTTGTCATTCAGCTAGGGCTTTTAGCAGGGTAATAAAAGTTTCTCTTCTGTGAACGCTTCCCTCGCCAGTCCTTGGAAATTTGTAATCCCAATCTTGGGTGAGCGAGGTTTCTTTTTCAAAGCGTAAAAAGATTAGCATGCAAGAATGATGCAAGTGTTTTATTTTTTATTGTTATACGAACGATGGTTAAAAAAATAAAGAATTGTAAATGTTGTTCTGCTGTATGTACACAGTGGAGAAGTATACATGCGAAATGTCAATTCTATCTCTGAAATCACCAAACAAAGGATATTGTTTAGGTAATGAACTTCAATTATGTATGAAACACACTTGTGATATAATAAATCACCATGTTGGGGGGTGAAGGTCGTTTCGGATTTTTAATAGTTTGTAATATATTCCCGCTGTTAAAAATTTCAAATAACCATTTTGGTTATTTTTTCCCATTGATTTGTGAACATTTATAAACATCTAGTATTATAAAAGGCTGTGTATTTTGAAGGCTATTTCAATTATACGCAGTGTAAATTTGATATCACAATATCAAAATCGTTCAAAACACAGAGACTTTGTACAGTTCCCTACTGGTTTCGTAAACAAATATTCACAAGACTATTGTTACACCATTATTATTATTTGAACTTCATCAATGTTTCTTGTGTTCTAAATTAAAACTGAGGCTTACCATAGGCCTATCAAATATTTAACCCCGTTTTACAGCAGCAATGTCTCATATTACAGTCCACTCTTGGTAATTCAAACACTTGATAATTCAAAACTTTCGATAATTCAAAATGAAGGCTCAGTCCCTAGAGAATCTCTCAATATTTCAAATTTTTACCATGCATTTTGATACACTCGGTATTTCAAAGTCCAAATAGAGGGCAGGTCAATTTGTAACACACAGTAATTCAAAGTTTCGTCGGAAAAACACTCTATAATTCGAAGTAACTCAGTAATTCGAAGTTTCGTCGGTTAACACTCTATAATTCGAAGTCATGCTGTAATTAGAAGTTTCGTCAAAAAACACTCTATAAATCAAAGTCACGCAGTAATTCGAAGTTTAGTCGGCAAAACACTCTATAATTCGAAGTGATCTCTTCCTGTTATAACAGGAAACTATACAGTACAGTACATCCTGTTCCCATGGTAGGCTGGTGTTGGATGTTTTGATGTTTGTTTAGTTAGAGCAGTAGTCTGAGTTAGTTCGCTGACTTGTTTTTCTAAGTTGGCAATCCGATCTCTAGATTGCGCGAAATCTCCTTGAGCACAAATGTAGTTGTCGACAGCTGATGGTTCAGCTATTGGCAAAATATATGGCGCTAAATAATAGATTTCTTTCCAACTACAGTATCTGAAAAATAAGCCGTTGATTGTGTACTAGAATACGGTATGATGTTTTATTATAACGTGCTGTACCTTTGTATGTATTAAACAAATGAACTCTCTGTAATTCGAATGGTTTATTTTTCTCCCGATAAATCGAACTCTTGATAATTCAAAACTCTTGATAATTCAAAACTCTTGATAATTCAAATTTTCATGCTTGGCCCACCAATTTCGAATTATCAAGAGTCTACTGTACTGACAAATCAACTGGTGCCTGTTTCCCTATAGCAGACAGATGTTGTAAATCATAGTGTAGCCAAGGGGTTGTCGGGTATTGTGTGAAGGCAATGCCCTTATACCCGAACTGAACGACTGCCACCCCCCATGTTCTGTCATTTCACTTTCTCTTTTCTCTGAGCACCTTTTGCAGTTTTTATTTGCTTTGGGCGTTTTGTGTGGTCTTTATTTCAAGCTCGTTCACTAGTTCCAAAGTGTTAGGTGGATGTATTCTACTATACTTAATAGATTAAAATTTAATTGTGATATGTGGATAAATCAATTTATTTATTTATTGATAAAATATCACACTTTCTTAATTCCAATTAAATATTTGATTATAAATTCTTACAACAAAACATTTACAACATGACGGGTTTGATTACGCAAATTTGTATTTAAGTTATTCTCATCGGCGTTTTAAATTTGATTAGATAGGAAATTGACACATATCTACAGGACATCTTTTTTATCATTCAAATTCACTAACCACTAAAATATCACGATAAATATTAGGATACGAGTCCCTGTCTAATATCTCAGATTCTTAGCGAAGCAGTTAAATTAATGATCAGTCGCGCTTCACCTCTAACAACACGAATTCGAGGCGAGCGGGGAGCGGATGTGCAGTTCCGGCAAGTCACGTGGGCGCGGGTAGCATGGCTCAGCTGTCGGCTGTCTGTACATTGCGTCGTAACAGCAGACAGCACTATGTTTTCATTGCCCGCCACATCGTGGCAGCACCTACTGGTCGGTGACGTCAGCGCTATGATCGCCCCTTCCCGCCAGAGTGTGCTGATTGCTTGTTCACATCCAAATGCATGGGGCTTTCAATCTAGTAGTGTTATATCGTCAATGCCTATACCCTGGTCGAGATGGACAAGTAAGAGTTGTTGACACTACAACACCAAAAGGTACTTTTCGGCATCCGATGACAAAAATTGCCATTCTACCTGAGGAGGGGAAAGATGTTAACGACTAATTTCATATATATGTATGACCATTGATTAATCCTTATATTTCTGTTGTATGATTTATTTGTGAAGATAAATTACCACATGTTTTAATAATGTTAAATAATGAGTAAATAAATAGTGATGGAAATGTTGTACTGAAATTGACTATTCTTATTAGCGAATTTCCCTATAGGGAAGTAGCTATTACCGTAGGTCTCATGGTAAGACCTAAGCCCGGGACCGATTTACTTTTTCATTTTGATGTCCCCAGAGGCCAAAAACACCATTCGTTCAAATTTTTATATATCTATATATAGATATATATATATATATATATATATATATATATATATATATATGTGTGTGTCCATCCGCACGATAACTTGAGTAATTTTTGTCCGATTTTGATAAAATTTGGTGTGAAGGTGTAAGGCGGGATAAACTTGAATGAGTTCGCGAACCAGCATGATCGGACTATGGGAACGGGGGTTTATGGGGGGTTTTATGGGGGGTTTTATGGGGTAAAAATGGGTTTTTCGCATTTTTGACCCTAAAAACACAAAATTTCACAATTTCTTTTTAAACCATTTTGTAGAGCTTAAAAAAACAAATAATTTAGTATGTTGAAGCGTTATTATGCGCCTAATTGTTACGGAGAAAATAAAAAAAAATTGTAATTTTAAAATTTCCATGTTATTCTTATGGAGAATAAAGTCAACTGTTGTAGTTTGCTTGTTTATGAACATATTTTGATCAAATTTGGAAAATTCATTAATTTCTTACTAAACCACAGTACCTTTAAACATTTTACATAAAAACAACTCTTTTACCCTCCCTGTTGCAGCAAACCTAAGTACTCATTAAACTAATTCTGTTTAAATAGGGAATAAATGTGATATTTTTAAGGAGACATTTTAGTCTAAATCCAATCAGGCAAATGGAAATTCGCTAAGTCTGCAGGTTTGCTGCGGCGGGAGTATTTTGACTTTGATAATTGACAATTTAATAAATGGTTACATAAAAACTAGATTTATTATTCTAAGTCATCTGAGAGAAATAAAACTGATGGTATCACACGATACATTATTTCACCATTTTTATAGTACAGGGCACTGACTAATAGATTATGTTAGAAGTTAATAGATTATGTCAAATTGTTTCCAAAATAACAATCAATAGATTTTGATGTTTTCAGCACAACATTATAAATTTGATTATTAGTAGTGTCAAACAATTAGTTTTTTAACTAATATAATTTATTTAAAAATACAGTCAATAATAAACTAAAATAATACAAACCCTTCAAACAAATGGCCATCAATTCTGCTAAGATGGCACATGAAATTTCTGCTACTTGTCTCAAAGATGTGTTAAAGCTGTTAAGTTCTTCTGGTACAGACCTGACAGTGTACATGCCATAATACTCTACAAAATGTGCAACAGTTGGCTGGGCCAATGCAAAGTTATGGAAAGAGAGAACCATAGCTTCAATTTTCATAAAATCATTGTTCCTGTAACGAAACCCATCAAATTTGTTTAATTCTGATATTGATGGTACCTTGTACTCAACTTCCTCAAATTTTGCTGAAACAAAAAGAAAAAATTTAAAATTCATTGAGTATAACAGAAGCAAGCAAATATGAAATATTACAGTCAGAATGGATTGAAATAAAATTAAAAATAACTAAATAAACCAATAATACAAACTTGATAAGAAATAAACATAAACAAACGGGAAATAACTGTATAAGAATAAGAATAAGAATAAGAAAGTGTATTGCCGTTGACCAGGTTGTATACAGGAATAGGCATTGTCAAATTACAAACAAAATATCAACAAGTATGTTATATCTATAGCTAACAAAGATTGAAAATTCCTAACTTACAGTGTGAATGATTCCATTGTAATTTTATGTTTCAAAAAGTCCTTGACTGAATAGAACGGATTTGCTACAAGCCAGTTGTACTAAGCTAACTAAGCTGGGCTCAACACCATATAGCCTACACAACTCATGGATAGCTGGCTCAGTGTTGGCCATGCGGTCTAGCTTCCCCCACTCATGACTGGTAGAAGCCCCTGCAGCTTATACACTCACCATTATAAAACGTACCTTTTCGCTGTTGCGTGTATGTTGAAATATATAGAAATAATATATTCTATATATTATTATATATATTTCTATATATATATTCTATATATATTCTATATATATATTCTATATATATATTCTATATATATTCTATATATTCTAACGCATGTAAAACTCTTTTTACTATTCAAAAGCTTTATGTCTGTTTTTTAAATAAGCCAATTATAACTAATACTAATATTCGGGTAGTTTATTAAAAAAGCGAGTTGAGTTGGTTTTGAAGGAGTCGCCCATTTTAGCCAGTCTATAAGGTTTTACTTTACTCGTCAATGAATACAGTTTTAACAAGGGTTTATCCATAGGAACTTACCTGCTAACATTATGCACACGAGAGCAACACATTGAAGCCGATCCGGGTCAATTGAATGATTGTCCATAAACATATCAAGTAAAAAAACTCCAAGATGGACTGTTTTGTGACTAAGTTTGATTTGTTCACAAACATGGATGAGCCACTCTATCAACTGCCTTCGACATTTGAGCTGAAATAAAAACACATGCATACCAAGAGTAGCAAAACCAATTTCAATAATGAAAACAAATTATCCTATTCCTAGTATTCTAGTAGGCCTGAAGGCTACGATTATACTAGGACGCTGGCGAAATGGGGGCGAGTAGACAAGGGATGCCAGTATTGGATGCTAAAAAAACCACCGAATGCTCCATTTTAAGCATCCCAGCTGGGACGCTGAAATTCACGTGTCCAGTGACTTTTTGTCTCCCGGGATGCATTTCGGACTCCAGCCTCCTAGTATAATCTTAGCCTATAGTTCAGGCCGCTTAGAAAGTGACCTCCTCTAGCATTGGTTAGGAGGTCGCTTTCTAAGCGGCCGAACTATAATAGCAGTACAAACTACAGTAGATAACGAGGCCAGTCCGGATAACGGGTTTTCCGGTTAAACCGACGTTCCCAAAAACTCTATAAAACGGACTGTTTACTGTGATATTCGACTTAAATTTATGAGAGCATTGTATTTACACACGTGATCACTGGTCTCAAATATTTCCCACGAGAACAGTCGTTTCAGTACTGCCCACTATCTCCCTGGCACACTTGTTCAAAGGTCGGATATCTCTGTAACATGAACTGGCGGCAACAGACTGAATTGGGTCATGACTGCTGTGAATTGTATTAGGCGTATTGGATAAAATTTCAATCAATTCGTGGTTGTTTAAATCCAGTAAACAACAATTGGAATTTTGTCTGATTGGCGATGGTTCGTGGTTGTTTGCGATCAGCAAACAACAATCGGGATTTTGTCTACTCGGTGTGACATTGTGACATTATGACATTGTGACATGATCGTTCGTAGCATTTATGTCAATTGATTGCTCTAAATTCCTTCTTTCCATTCGAACACGTCTGGCTGTCGTATTATATTCGGGCCCAAATTGTCGCGGCATTTTCTCGCTAGGTAACAATTACAATTGACGTTAAATAGATCTCTGTTTTACGAAAAATAATACTTCACGACGACGAACGACAATTGACAGTGATTCACAACACAATACACAATAACAATAACAATAAAACTTTCTAACAATTCAAACAACTTCAGTGAATCACACAGAATCAAACAATACCAGGAAATCACGCGATGATATCGTTTATTTGTAAAGAAAAATAAAAATATTTATTTGTAAAGAAAAATAAAAAGGCTCCGACTTATATATTTAAATATATATAACTCTCCTTGCAATACTCTCAATGATTAATTCTTTACAAATCTTGGTTGCCCCTGGGTTGGAAGAACAAGAGAACAATAATAAACAACAGAGCGTTGGCAGTGGAAGTTTGATGTTGATAAATATTGAGTGGGCCCTGTAGAATAAAATTATTTCCAGAGATCCTTAGGGGACGTCCCTGGTACTGTTTGAAGTTCTTCCAGATTTGGAAACAAACTTAAATATACACTGACTCTACTTTGCGCACTACCACACTAATGTTTAGTGTTGCATTTAAATGTGAATCTTTTGTAGTGGCTTCTTATATATAATAAATACCAAACTCTTTTGAATGAATTTGTTCTACCAAGAATGAAATACCAAGGTTATTGGAAACTCTGAAAATATATAACAATTTGATTTATTGCGCTGTACTACATAAATAAAAAGTACACTGGTTTCTTTATGTAATTAAAATATTTCGACAAACATTTGAAAGTAGATAAGATATTAACGATCTCTTTGAAACCTTGAATGCCATCGCTATTGATATCTTTATTTTACTAAAAATTACAGAAACAACCCCTTGAAAGGAGAAGCGTTTGACACGGTTACAATTTGATCACGGCAATGGCAATGGAGTGTGAATTAATCTAATTTTGAGATGACCAGTACTACTAATCCTTCTCGTTGGCCAACGAATATTAATTGAAGATCATAATCTCGTAGTCCAACTTGTTAGACAGTATAACTGTTTGTAACTCAGTAAAACGTGTTGAAAGATTATTTATTATTTATGGCTAAACAGTACTATGGCGGTTTATCTATTGTAAAACACACACGACCCCATGTGACACTGTCCCACCTCCTCGAACCTGCTATCTATACCTCAACTTCCAGTTAAAAATTTTCTAGACTATAACAGTTTTTGCGCCTCCCTAAGCCCTGCGGCCCAATGCTCCGCAATTGGTTGCATTGGCGTTAGTTAGGCAACTGTGCGGGAGAGTTGGAAGGTCTGGATTAAACAAGTATTCTGACTATGTACTAATTCTACACTGAACTAACAAGGTTCTCAATATTATCAGCCAACTTTTATAGATTGCATTCATCAGGTCTATTAAACTTCACCTTAAACTGATTCTAATTTTTTCAAACCAAGTATTTATTAGTGTCTGGTCTTCCAATCAGGGTGTCTAGTTTATTTCCATTATAAAATTCAAGACTAATTCCAGACTTTTCAAGACTAATTCCAAATTTTTCAAGACTAGTTTTTCAACAATTAGTGGGTGTTGATACCAAAACGTATCGATTCTCAATTCTTGGTACTGATACAAATTTTTATAGCTTAACCAAATTTTCTAAATAATACTACACCAACCCCTGCCTTTGTCATAAAGTAGTATTATGATAATGTTGTGTTTTCAAGTAAAGAAATAATGCAGCAATAAAAAATTCTAACTAGCAAATTTGGTTTTTTTATCATGAAATCTTCCACGTACCGTACGTTTAGACATCATCATTGACTGCAGCGGTTACAGAAACGTGATCGTCGTCGTACGCGATCACGGCAAAATCATGAATATTTCCCGCGGCCGAGCATATATCATCGTCGTCTCCCGCGGTCACGGAAACGTCATCGTCGTCGTCCGCGATCGCGACAAAATCAAGAACAATTCCCGCGGCCGAGCAGATATCATCGTCGTCTCCCGCGGTCACGGAAACGTCATCGTCGTCTCCCGCGGTCACGGAAACATCATCGTCATCTCCCGCGGTCACGGAAACATAATCGTCATCTCCCGCGGTCACGGAAACGTCATCGTCATCTCCCGCGGTCACGGCAAAATCATGAACATTTCCCGCGCCTGTGTAGACATCATCGTCGTCTCCCGCGGTCACAGAAACGTCATCGTCATCTCCCGCGGTCACGGAAACGTCATCACCATCGTCCGCGATAGCGACAAAATAATGAAAATTCCTTGCGGCCGTGTAGACATCATCATTGACTCCCACGGCCACGGAAACGTCATCGTCGTCCCCAGCGGTCACGGAAACGTAATCGTCGTCGTCCGCGATCGCGATAAAATCATGAACAATTCCCGCGGCCAAGCAAGATATCATCGTCGTCTCCCGCGGTCACGGAAAGGTCATCGTCGTCTCCCGCGGTCACGGAAACGTCATCGTCATCTCCCGCGGTCACGGAAACGTCATCGTCGTCGTCCGAGATCGCGGACAATTCATGAACATTTCCTGCGGCTGTTTAGACATCACCGTCATCTCTCGTGGTCACGGAAACGTTATCGTCATCGTCCGCGATCACGGCAAAATCATGAACATTTCCCGCGCCTGTGTAGACATCATCGTCGTCTCCCGCGGTCACAGAAACGTCATCGTCATCTCCCGCGGTCACGGAAACGTCATCACCGTCGTCCGCGATAGCGACAAAATAATGAAAATTCCTTGCGGCCGTGTAGACATCATCATTGACTCCCACGGCCACGGAAACGTCATCGGCGTCTCCCGCGGTCACGGTAACGTCATCGTCGTCCCCAGCGGTCACGGAAACGTAATCGTCGTCGTCCGCGATCGCGATAAAATCATGAACAATTCCCGCGGCCGAGCAGATATCATCATTGACTCCCACGGCCACGGAAACGTCATCGGCGTCTCCCGCGGTCACGGAAACGTCATTGTCATCTCCTGCGGTCACGGAAACGTCATCGTTGACTCTCGTGGTCACGGAAACGTCATCGTCATCTCCTGCGGTCACGGAAACGTCATCGTTGACTCTCGTGGTCACGGAAACGTTATCGTCGTATCCCGCGGTCTCGGTAACGTCATCGTCGTCCCCAGCGGTCACGGAAACGTTATCGTCGTCCCCAGCGGTCACGGAAACGTAATCGTCGTCGTCCGCGATCGCGATAAAATCATGAACAATTCCCGCGGCCGTGTAGACATCATCATTGACTCCCACGGCCACGGAAACGTCATCGGCGTCTCCCGCGGTCACGGAAACGTCATCGTCATCTCCCGCGGTCACGGAAACGTCATCGTCGTCGTCCACTATCGCGGCAAAATCGTGAATATTTCCCGAAGCCGTGTAGACATCATCATCGGCTTTCGCGGTTACGTAAACGTAAACGCAAGACGACGATCGCGGCAAAATCATGAAAATTCCCGACTTTGAAATCAAATTTAAGACTAAATCCCGACTTTTCAAGACCATTTTTAAATTCAATACTAATTCCCGACTTTCCCGATTTTCCCGACTACTAGACACCCTGTCCAATGTTTTTTTCTAAACAATTAAAAATGTAAGCCTAAATTACAAGGTACTATCAAAAGTGACACAATTCTCTAACAGTTCCATTTGCTTTTGGTTTAGGAATAGCACATTGTGAGAGATATGATCTGAATAAGCTACAGAATATGAAATGTACCTGTGGTGAAGCATGATTGTATTTTCGCCGTTGTATTTCCTTGCTTTTCCAATGTTCTTCTATTTCCCTGGCGTATTGGGAGAAAATTGTCTGATCAGCATCACTTCTAACTGACATCTGGAAAAGTACATTCTTTTATTAATAGCAGCCAGCAGCATCACTTCGTGACTTCAAGATCCGTGGTATATTTGAATTAATTTACAACTTTATATTGCTCTGAGTCTTCACAAAATCCTATCAAAACACTGTAGCATGGTTTGATTTCAAATAGAAATTTGAAAAGTTATTTTCTCAAATTTCTATTTGAAATTTTTAGCGAATTTCCCTATAGGGAAGTAGCTATTACCGTAGGTGGCACGGTAAGATCTAGACCCGGGACTGATTTACTTTTTCATTTTGATGTCCCCAGAGGCCAAAAACACCATTCGTTCAAATTTTTATAATTGTATATGTACGTCCTTGAACGCGATAACATGAATTAATTTTTGTCCGATTTTGATGAAGGTTTAAAGGTGTAAAGCGGGATAAACTTGAATGAGTTCAAAAAACCAGCATGATCAGACCATGGGAACGGGGCTTTACGGGGGGTTTTATGGGGTAAAAATTGGTTTTTCTCACTTTATACCCTCAAAACAAAAATCTTCCCAATTTCTCTTTAGACCTTTTTAAAGAGCTTAAAAAACTAGTAATTTAGTATATAAAATTATTTTTGTTCGGTTATTGGTAAGGGATAAAATTTAAAAAATTGTAAATTTAAAATTTCCATGTTATTCTTATGGAGAAGATTGTAAAATGTTGTAGTTTGCTTGTTTATATATATATTTTGATCACAATTGGCAAATTTTTTTTTATATTAAGCTATCAACATTTTACTAAAAAACACACACTTTATTAGTTTTCTTATGGCAGAAAACCTAGGTACTCGTTAAACCTAATGTTATTTATAATATACTAGCAGAGTACCCGTCCTTCGTACGGGGTTGGCATATAAGTTTAAATTGCTTATAGCAGTTATACTCAAGCTTTTCGTTTGCAATGGGGGAGGACAAAGTTTGATAAAATTTGCTTCTTTAAATTGACAGTATACTATGGTATTACACATCTACCATAGCCATAATGTTCTACCTCTTCACCTAAACAATAAAGAAAAATAAAGTATTACAAATTTAAAAAATCACAAATGTTTCATGACATTAAGAACATAAACATAACTGTAAACAATCCTACTTTGACAGTTCTCATTGCGTATCGCAGTCGTTTGTTGCTGCTTAGTTCAAATTAGCTGTTTACATAAATGCAAAATAAATATAGTGCTGCACCCTGTTGGGAAATCTTATAACTTTTTAATGCTTTTGTATATCATAGAACCAACTTTTTTAGTTGAAACAGCTGACTAAATTCTTTAATTTCCTTTAAATATGAATATTCATAAGGTTAACATGGGGAACTACAGAGCCACTGTGGCGGAGCCCGAAGGGATTTTTGAGATAAGAATATGCCTATATGTTACTCGGGAATGTGAGTTATCATCATGCCAAATTTCAGCCCAATCCATCCAGTGGCTTATGCGTGATTGACCCTTAAACACACAAACAAACAAACAAACACACATCCTACTAATGTTATAAATGAGAAAGTTTGGATGTATGGATGTATTTTTGTGACAAGTAAACGCAAAAAATACTGGTTGGATTGGGCTGAAATTTGGCATGATGATAGCTCACATCAGTGGCGTAACAGAAGGGCCCGCAGGGCCCGCAATGCGAGGGGGCCCGGGAGCTGAGGGGGCCCACGAATTGGTGAGTGGGATACGGTGAGCAGACATGCCCGTGAGACGAGTGGGGCCGAAAAATTGGAGTTCATTCTTATTTAAATGTATTATCATTCATTCAATAATTGTATTGAACAAGTAATAACATTGGTGTTATTAATATTATGTTGTTATCAGTAATCGTTTAATTTCGTTAGGCCTCTTCTTCAGTGATAACGAACTAGGGTAACAAATTTAACGTGTTATAACGTGGGTCTTTGATTATTATGCAATCTTACTTTCGTCGCCAAGAAATACTTTACTTCTCGGTGATTTTGTACACTGCTTAATGTCGTCTGCAAACATTCTGTTACTTTGGAGCCTGGAATCATGAACGTTGGGGCTTTTAATATTGTATCGTATCATTTTACATTTTAGTTTTGTCATGATATTGATTGCATTTTGTTAAATACGATATATACTGCTACTCTAATGACTGTGTTTGTTAGCCCGTATCTTATTTTACCTCCCAATTAACCAACGCTAAAGACATTTGTTGTAAGATAAACTCTTACAACATAATAAAACGCTTGAAATTCATACAAAGATAAAATAAAATATACCCCCGCCGCAGAAAACCTGCATACTAAGCGAATTTCCATTTGTCTGAGTTGATTTTTAATTAAATCTATTTAAATAACATAAGATTGAGTACCTAGGTTTGCTGCTACAAGGAAACTAATAAAACATATTTTTTTAGTAAAATGTACATAGCTTAGTATAAAATAAATAAATTTGCCAAGTTTGATCAAAATATATTCATAAACAAGCAAACAACAACATTTTACAATATTCTCCGGATAAAGAATAACATGGGAATTTTAAATTTACAATTTTTTGAATTTTCTCCGTTACCAATAATCGTACAAAAACACTTTAATATACTAAATTATTTGTTTTTTTAAGCTCTTTAAAAAGATCTAGAGAGAAATTGGGAAATTTTGTATTGAGAGGGTCAAAAATGAGAAAAACCATTTTTTACTTTATAAAACCCTCCGTAAAACCCCGTTCCCATGGTCCGATCATGCTGGTTCGCGAACTCATTCAAGTTTATCCGGCGTTACACCCTTAAACCAAATTTCATCAAAATCGGACAAAAATTACTCAAGTTATCACGTTCACGGACGTATATATATATATATATATATATAAATCTATATACAGGGTGTTCATTTGAACACTTTCCATATCTATTGTGTCCAAAGGTAAGGCTTTTAACTCTTGTTAGTTCTCATTTCCCCCTAATTTGGACATGCCAAATCCAATCAAATTATTTTCAATTTTGAAAAATGCCCCCATAGGGCCTAATTTGGGGGGTAGGGGTGCTTTTTGAGAAATTTTCAAATGTAAACATGGGTTGTATGATACACCAATTCAAAGGTCTAATCACCCTGATGATTTTGGTGCAAAAAAAATTTATTATCTTTAACTGTATTTACAGGTTAGGTCAAAACGTTTTAAAAAAGGACTTTGAAGTTGATTCTTTAGGATGCACCATACTACGGAGAAGATTGTATTCTTTCAAACTGTTCATCTACGGTCCTCAATTGTCCATCTAACTCACGTGATCGTCCAGACGCTAGCACAGTTACCCGTTACGGAAGGTCCATCAAGATACCGAGGCGGTACCATAAATAAAACATGTAGTAGATTTCTCATCCTTATGGAACAGCTGAAGACAATTTTATTGTTAGTTCATGTACGGTTTATGTAGAGGTTGTGTTTTGTTTACAATTTGTTTCCCGTTATTACAGCCAATTAAAACCTCGTTTAACCAAATAATACGATCTAATCATAAACAATAACTTGTCCCCTAGTTATATAACCAAACAGTAAAGCACAAATCAAGAAATTAACCCTAAAATAATGGAAACAAAGTTTCATCGACACTAGCGCCTTTGTGTTACGGACATGAACTAGACATGAAAAACGTGCTTCAAAATTTACAATGGGATGAGAAGTCTACTTGTGTTGGTTAGTCTATGGCGGTACCGAGCTTCATGAAGATGTAGACATCTTGAGGCGGGATTTTGTATTAAGTCTGTTCTTTTAGTCATATGATTTATTTGTGTTAAAATATCTTTTGTTGACAGATGATTTTTGTAAACATGTTTTTGTAAACATTGGTTTAGTTTGGAAATAGAGTTTGTTGAAACAAGATGTGTGTTTAATATTCTTAAATTAGAAATAGAACATGGTACCTTATTACCCTAACTACTGAATGGAAAAGGGCCAAATTTCTTTCCAAGCTTATTCTTGAGCTACTCTTTAAGATAAGTTGTAGTAAGGGCATTTTACATGTTATTTTCTAATTTTAAAAAATATCTCAAATTTGAAGAATAAAAGAAAGCTGAAAACTCAAAATTCTTAAATAGCAAGGTATAACAAATTTCATACCACGTGAAAGGTCCTTTTTTAACAAACATTTTATGTATTTAAGTTTTCTTTCTATCTCTTACCGTTTAAAAATTGCAGTAGAAAAACATAATTTTCTATGCTGAAATTGTAACTAGTCTATTCTATATATAATTAAAAAATCTTTGTACAACTAAATCTAGAGTTCTACTGGACCGATTTTATTAATTAATGGGTCGTTGGAAAGCTTAAGTCGTGTAGATTTGCAAATAATTAAAGTAATGAAAGTTTGTTTTTGTTATGATTTATGGTGATAAATTAAAGAAAACGTGTTTTCCATAAGAAATACATTGAAAACGGTGTTTTTCACACTTTTTATTTTGGCGCGACTTTTAGCTGCCATTTTTTTATATTTCCAAGAAGTGCATGGTATCAATTTGTAGGAAATTTTATTCTCTTTCAGAATATCACCTTCCACTTTAGTTGATTTCCTCACCATTTAAAAGTTATTTTCAAAAAAGCTAAGCAACCTCCGAATTTATAGTAATGAGAAAATATTGAGTTTGGGATATTTTTGTTAAACTTTGTACAACTAAATCTAGACTTCTGCTGGACCGATTTTGTTAACTAATGGGTCATTAGAAAGCCTAACCCATGTATATTTGCAAATAATTATAAAATCGTGATTTTATTAAATATTTGTGGTGAAAAATTAAAAATAACAAAAATACATTAAAAACTGGGTTTTTCAAGTTTCTGTTTTCAAGATTCTATTTGTAGCCAGCTTTTGGCTGCCTTTATTAAGTATTTTCAAGAATTGCATAGTAGTTATTTGTAGTAAATTGTATTCTCTTTCAGAATATTACATTCATTTTGGTCGATTTCCCCTCCATTTAAAAGATATTGGCAATAATCTAAGTGATCTCCAAATTTATAGTGGTGAGAAAATACT